GCCCACAGGCCCATGAGTACACAGAGCACAGAGCATACACGCCGATTAGAATCTGGTTTATTTTAACTTCCTGATTGTTTTTGTTAATCAAGGTGCTCAGTTAAAATGAGTGAGGCTAATGTCACATCCCTTTTATTGTCCTCTTCCCCAGTCTTTTTTTTTTTTTTCCAGTGTAATAGGAAATTCTTCTTCTTCCCAAACAGTAATAGTTGCAACTGGAAGTTGCAAACCAAGTTAGTAAGTTCTTCTTGTGGCTCTGGGTAAAAGACAACTGTCTGCTACACTGGCTTGTACAACCACAAGAAAATTGTTGTTTATCACCCTATGTTTTTTTTTTTAAATAAACTCTGCTGTTCTCTCTCTAGCTTATTTTGAATTTTCTCTTGAAAACTTTGCTGAAGGACAGAATAGCAGACCACTTATGGGTTGGGATTCAGGAGTGAGATCTGGCTTAAAACCTGACTCTACGGTTTACTGTAGAGGCATCACATATTTTTATCTTTCTAAGTCTGTTTTCTCATGTATTAACTAGTCATCTGTGAAGGCAAAATGAAACAATACATGGGAAAAAACAAGCTTTGGTAAAGTGTGATTCTTGCTCTCTTGATAATAGTCATCTGTATTTGCAAGCTAATTTATTATCTTTAACATATTTAATCTTTTTAAGCCTATTTCTTATTTTAATTTTTTTTTGCAGGGGATACTAGTGATTGAACTCAGGGGCATTTGAACACCGAGCCACATCCCCAGCCCTATTTTGTATTTTATTCTGTATAGGGTCTTACTGAGTTGCTTAGTGCCTTGCTTTTGCTGAGGCTGGCTTTGAACTTGCGATCCTCCTGCCTCAGCCTCCTGAGCCACTGGGATTACAGGCGCTCAGCTTAATTTATTTTTATTATCATTAGATTTCTACCTCTGGAGGACTCTCACCAGCGATTGCCATTATTTAAATTCAGCAATCACAATTTTTTTTTTAATGTTGTAAATGGAACAACATAGGATTGGGCTCTTCCTGTGTTAGCAAAAACTACTAGAAGCACCCATCTATTCCCTTAATGTGCTAAATGTCTGCCCCAGCTAAATATGAAGGTGTGGAATTCAGTAAGGGAGGAAGACTTTTTGGGGAGAGGAGCACATTTCTAGAATTCCAAGAAGCATTCTTGGTTCTTCCTCATCACATAAAATGGACCACGAATCCCATCTCTAACACCCATTAGATATCCTACCATTTAACTTTCTGGAATATAGATCTCCTTATTGAAGGGTAATTTTCCCAGAGAAGTGCTTTAATAACATTAGTTTATTGCTTAAAATCTCTCCTTTGCTCACCAAATTAATGTCCAAACTAAATGCATGTTATTCACAGTGCTCCAGAGGGGTAAACAGGATCTATATCTGTATCTACTGTATCTATGTTTATATACAGGGAGAGACATATGAGAGGGATTGATTAGAGAAATTGGCTCACACCATTATGGAGGCTAAGAAGTCCCATAATAGATCATCTGAAAGGCTTGTGTAGTGTGGCTCAGTCCAAGTCCAAAAGCCTCAGAACCAGGGACGGTGATGATGTACCTTTCAGTTTAAGGCTGATGGCACAAGAAGCAGAGGAGCAACTGGTGCAAGCCCTGGAGTACAAAAGCTGGAGAACCTGGGGTTCTGATGTCTAAGGGCCAGGGAAGAATGATGTCTGGGTCCCAGGAGAACCAGAGCAAGAATTTGCCCCTTCTCCACCCTTTTGTTCCCTAGGGGCTCCCAGATGGATGGTGCTGCTCACATGGAGACACACCCACAAATAACGCTGGACTGCTCTAGGGATTCAAGTTGACACAGGAAATTAACCATCCCGAGTGCTCAGCCTGCTTTCCCAGCCTCATCCACCATGCTGCTGCTGCATGTTACCTCATACTCTGGCAGAGTGGTGTTCTTGTTCCCCAAGGGGCTCCCATGCTCTTCTGTCTCTGCCTGGCCCAAACGCCCTCCTCCATCTCTGCCATGTGCCTACAGTGAACAGCACTGCTTCCCACCCAACTGCCACACACAGAGGGCTGTTTCCCTTTCACGTTCCTTCAGAGTCCCTCATTTATCACCCAGGCCTACTCATTTTTGCAGGTCAAAATTTTTTAAAACACTCTGAGTTCTCTTGGAATTTTCCTCTTTTGGTGTGGCTTTTTCAGATCTTGCCTAAATTACTGCACTTGTGATGGTTAACTTTGTGTCAGCTTGGCTGCACATGATGCTCGTTAAACATCATTTCTGGGTGTGTCTGTCATGATGTTTCCAAAAGAAATTAACATTTGAATTGATAGACTAGGTAAAGCAGAGGCCCTCTCCAGTACAGGTGGGCATCATCTAACCCACTGAGGTCTGAATAGAACAAAAAAGCAGAAGGGTGAATTCTCTCTCTCTACCTGATGACCTAAACTGAGAAATTGAAATTTCCCATCCTTGGACTTCAATTTCTCAGCTGGAAGATAGAAGATCATGAGGCTCATCAGTCTCTATAACCACATGAACCAATTAATTATGATAAATCTCATGTCTGTCTTTATCTTATCTATCTATCTATCTATCTATCTATCTATCTATCTATCTATCTATCTTCTACTGGTCCTTGGTTCTATTTCTTGGAGAACACTGACTAATATAACTCCTAATGCTTTGGGCTTCATTTTCTCCCTTTCTTTAAAAACAAAAAACTTTATTTACTTATTTATTTTTATGTGGTGCTGAGGATTGAACCCAGGGCCTTGCACGTGCGAGGTGAGCGTTCTACTGCTGAGCCACAACCCCAACCCCCATTGGCTCCCTTTCAATCTGTCCTCCATCCTCCCATTACGGTGATCTTTCTGAAATGCAGTTACAATCTCATCATTTTCTTACATACAATCCTTCAATGCTTTTCCATTAGTTTATGGCCAACAACCCAAATCCTTTCACAGCCCTCTTTGTATTATAGTTTACGTGCTCTTATTTTGTCTTTTCTCTTTGAATAAAGGCTACTAAAGAGCAGGGAGTATGTGTTTCTTAGTTTTGTATTTCTCAAAACATGCATCAGAGTGGCTTGCATACTAAAATGTTCACTAAATGCCTATGATGAGATTCTATGAAATGGAACCAATATCATGTACTTTGTCTGTCTCAAGGTGAATATGATGACCAAGTAATACATAGAAAAGTGTTGACAAGGTTAGAAGGGTCCATCCTTAGCAATGCTATTTTATTTGAAAGCCTGGGTGATTTATATGTTCATAAATACATCTGAAAATATAATTTTCTTAACAAACAATTCAATAAAAACTCGTGTTCACATGGTTAATGTTGGAGAAATGATAAATTATTGCAAGCCTCAAAAACTGTGATATGACTTCATAGTCCAAGAAAGATGGAGGTAGGATGTAGACTATAGAACTTCTAGCAACAAATAGGACAGCATTGCTTGATGAGTCTTAAGACTCTCTACAGAGAGCCAACGAGCATTTAATGAGCATCCCAGAGGGGTGTAATGTTCCATACCGTTACTCAAGAACCTTTTTTTTTCTTGGCCAAAATTACTTGGTTAAATCTACAAAGCCAAGTGGCCTGTTGCCAGAGTTCAAATAGTCTTTCTCTCTTCTCAATTCCTCTCTCCCTCTCATTGTTGCAAGGCAGGGAAAAGAGGAAATGAGACGGGACTGCGTGCTCATCCTGGCCTGATTCAAGCACTATTGCGCTATAAAAATGGAACTCTCCACTGCTCCTCTTAAAGAGATGAAAACTTTCTGCTTAGAATTCAGTGACTCATTCCACTTGGACACAACCACATTCTTTCTAGGGCGGAAACCCTGAATCCAAGTGTAGCTGGCCAAGTTGGGGAAAGAACTTCAAGCCAGTTCTGGGAAAGAACTTTAAGTCTTCCCACTGCTTATGAGAAGAAGTTTTGCTCTTTTGCAGAGAGTTAGAAGCAAAAATATGTTTTGCAAATAATGACCTTGAACTTGGCTAAAGAAAGTTTACTTTGATTGCCATTAAAAAGTATTTTTTAAGTTTAAGCTTTTAAGTACCCATATTCTTTTATATTAAAATTTTGCCCAAGGATCAAAGGAAGTAAAAGTACAGAGCAGAATGAAAATAGAGGTAGATTACCAGACTCTTATACAAAGAAAAAGTACTTTTTTTTGGCAAACTCTATTGTAGCTAAAGCTAGCATTTTCAATGCTATATGTAATTGGGGATAGCTGTCATACTTGAGTGCTTATTATTATATGTCAGGAACTAAGCTAAGTACTTAACCTGCAAAATTTCATTCATTTCTTTCATAGGTCCCATATGATGGATGGACTATAACTGCTACACTGGATCTACATTTTCATAAGAGACAAAAGGGCACTTATTTACCACTATTTAGGGACTGTGACAAAGGAGGAAAGGTACAGCTCTTAGGGGAATCCTGTATGTATTAGAAGCCCAGGAGAGAAGGGATATTGAAAGAATGTTAAGACAGATACCCAACTCCCTGGGCATCTCTTTGTAGCTTTTATAAATACAAAATGTGTTTTGATTTAAGGTTTTTTTTTGTTTTTTTTTTTTTTTTTGATCTGCATGCTTCTAAGGTCTTTAAAGTCTTTTAGAATCACTTAGCACTTATACTCTCACCCAGGTTAAAGGGAACTCGGGAAGAAAGTCATTAGCCTAATTTTCTAAACTAAAACCTTGTGAAGTGGCCTAGAGGGTCCTAAGAGCCTGCCATGGTTTAAGGCCCCAGGAGGCTGCAACTTAGTAGCTAACCAAGGCATTCTTTTGTGTCTACCTTGCCCAAATCCCTTAAGAACATCTATACATCTGGGCGATTTTCAGGACAAATCCTTTCCAAGTGAAAAATAAACAAGGATTTAAAAATCTTTCCTTCTGTTCCAGACAGAATTCCAGCTGTCTGCTTCTTGCTTCCCTCCAAGGGAAAGAAGACCAGCTTTTGCGTCCGTTTACAGTCTGCAGAGTTTAATCTTTGTGGTATCTTACAGGATGTGTTCCTGGTGCTGTATTTCCTATTTTGCAAGCTCTTCCATCTTCTGCGTGATCTCGGTGTCCTCAGAGCTTCTTCATCTGCACTGCAACTCTGTTAGCACCAGTATTTGTGAGTTTTCCTATTATTGTTGCTTAATAATTTGGGGGCTCATTTTCAGTCCTACCCATTTCCTGCTGATCCACTCCACTACCGCCATTACCTTTATAGAACATATCACAAGAGTCATCTGCCTTAAACCTGTTTGAAACTGGTGTTTTAAGGCCTACAGGATAACATACCAACTCCTTGCTGTTGGGTTTTAAAGTAGAGCTTAATTATTCACACTTCTTCCTTTCTTGATTCAGAATTGAATATGAATTAGACATATAAGTCAGATGGGAATGAAAATTCAGTACACCGTTCAGTGCTGACAAGGCTGAATTTGGGGCTTGGGGCAGAGGCAGGCTAACTATACTACTGCAATCCACAACTTCAGAAAGAGTTGCTGGGGAACTGTACCCCATTTCCTTTTGGTGCCGGTTTGGTGTTCTGGGAATTGCTTGAGAATGGAATAATCAATCACAACACTGTCAGCTAGATTTGGGTTGTCTCTAGAAATAACACATATTTAAATCTCAAAGGGAGGCAAACCCATTCGATTCTGGAAATCCAGTGGGCTAGTCATTCAGGCCAGTGATCACCCCATAATGTGGTCCTGGAGTTCTACTTGGATTTAGATTTCCTTTCTCTTGCTAATGACTCTACGAGCTTGCCTCTTGGCTTCTGCACATGAAATAGTGGGCTGGGATGAGGAAGTGAGTTGTATGTATCCTTAGGGATACCTCTTTAAAACAGGGAATTTATTGATTTTTAAGATGGGAAGGAGGTAGCCAAAAGTTTTTACTAAGGACCTAGGATATTAAGTTTTCCTCAATGCTCCTGCTTTTTCTGCATCCTGATGTTAAGTCTTTTCAAAACAAAAAATTCAAGCTGGGCACGGTGGTGCATGCCTAGAATCCCAGCAGCTTGGGAGGCTGAGGCAGGATTGTAAGTTCAAAGCCAGCCTCAACAAAAGCAAGGTTCTAAGCAACTCAGTGAGACCCTGTCTCTAAATAAAATGCAAAATAGGGCTGGGGATGAGGCTCAGTGGTTGAATGCCCCTGAGTTCAATTGCCAGTACCAAAAAAAAAAAAAAAAAGAAAAAAGAAAAGAAAAAAAAGTTCAGACTTAAATCTACCTAAGAACTGCTGGACAAAGAACTAATCTCTGTGGTGAGCCCATGTGGGCCCTGTTTTTTTGGTTGTCAGAAGGACAGCTTGGTCTAAAGCTTCTAGGATGATAAGGAAGACTGGAGAATTGTGGTCAACTCATTTGAACTTTGTTACCAGGGTTCCCCAGACGCACAGAAGTGAACACAATAAGGAAAATCTGCCTAGCTGTTACCATTTAGACAAGCACCATGACCTTCCTCACAAGGGAAGGCAGTAATGGCTGACCAGCACCCTATCTATTTTCAGTCAAATCCACATTTTAATATCTGTGTAGTCCCAATACGTCATTTATAGGGTACTGATCTCTGCATTAGCAGGGTTATTTTGTTTGAAAGCAAGAGAAATTCAACTCAGCATAGATTATGGTTAGTACTTGGAAATCTAAGTGATGCCTGGGAATCTAACAACAGCTGCCCCTTGGCCATAGGCTTGCCTGTACCCAAGGGTGTACATTGCCTGATGAAGACATTCTCCATATTGTGACTCTTTCCTCTGGTGATCTTCAGCTTCATACAGGCTGTACTTTTATAAGTGCTACTGGAACTAGAGAAAGAAGGATCTTTCTTTGCCCAGAGATCTTATATCAAGTATGGTGGAAAATGTCTGATTGGCTTATCTTGGGGCCCCCATCAATATCCCTTGACAAATTGCAGTGACCAAAAGGATGGATTGCTGTGAGCAGCTAGGTCTGGAACATTTGTTGGGTGTCCACCCTGAGCACATAGGGGTAAAAGGAGAGAAAAGATCCTTTATGAGCCACCTTGGAAGGAGGCTGAGGTTTCCCAAAGGAAGAGGACAGAACGGACAAGAAACCTTTGTCCACTACACAGACGTTATTGTGAAGTGCTATAATCGTGTGTTTGTGTGTCAACTTTTAGCATTTCCTATGATGAGGTGGAATCTATGTCCTTAGTGTGGAATCTGGGCTGCACCGTGATTTGCTTTGGCCTGTAAAATGTGTCAGATTTGGCCTCCACATCAGACTCAGAGCTGCAGCGTGGTGAAGATCACAGTTTGTCACCCTCACAAAGTCAGAAGAAGATGGTTAAGTCCAGATTTCACTCCCTTAAAAATGGAAGAAAAGCGGTGCCGCAGCCTCGTGGCCATGTGGCATTTGCTCTGACCACCAGGGCCAGCTGGGTCAACACCCTTTCCACCATGCTGAGCCAGGAGGCTGGCACAGCCCTTGCCCTGTTCATCCTGGCACCTCCCTTGCTGCAGGCTGAGGCTCAGCGTGCTGTTGCCTTGGAGGTCTGCAGAGATGTGGCCTCGGCCAAACCACCTGCTCAGCCTTTCAGTGTCTCACAGACTGCCAAGTTTTCCCAGCCCACAGGGGTGTCTCAATCTGGGACAGAGGATTAGCCATGATGTAGTGAAATACCCAGTCAAGGTGCTGTCACCAGAAGAGTCTATATCCCAAGTTTGTTCTCTCTCTCTCTCTCTCTCTCTCTCTCTCTCTTTTGGCTTGTCTTTTAAAAAATAAACTTCTTATTTTGAATTAATTTTAACTTCAGAGAAAAGTCACAAAAACTGTACACATTTCCCACATATCCTTCTCTCAGCGTCTCTTCATCTTGATGTCTTATCTAAAAGTACAATGACTGTGTCAAACTTGGGAATTAATATTCCTATTTATTGAACTGCAGACTTTATTCAGATGTCAGCAATTTTTGGCTATTATTATTATTATTTTTCTCTTGGGATACCACATCGCCTTTAACTAAGTTCTTTTGCTTTATTCACAGAACTAATTCTCTGGTCCCTGTGGTAGATTGATTGTCCTAGTGGTTTGGATTTATCAGCCTTGTAAACATGGCCCATACAATGTGAAATTTTAGCGTTTCCTGTGATGAGGTGAAATCTGTGTCCTTAGTGTGGAATCTGGGCTGCCCTGTGATTTTCTGTGTCCTATAAAATGCAGCAGATAGGAAGAACCTGGGTCTCAAGAAGCCCAGTTCATTCTCTCAGATCCCAGCCTCCTTGACAAGGTCAAGGCTGAGGTAGGCTGCTGACCCACGTGCTATATAAATCAGACAGGAAATATTCTAGCTGAACACTGAGGCCAAACTAGAGCCAGCTCCTTGCTGAACTTCCAGGTGACTGTAGATATGCTTAAGTCTATCCCAGAGCAGCAGATCTACCAGGTAGACTGTCAACTTGTGGGCAAAATACATATTTACTATTGCTACGCACGGAGGTTTAGTGATTGTGTTCATGTGACAGTACCGAATGGATACTGATAAGGCTGGGCCAGGGTAGATTCTGGTCCTGGCCATCTGGTGGCTCAGGATGCACTGTTGCCAACAAGTTCACTTAAATTTGTTGAAGATTGTGGGTCATTTGGGGACTGGTCTTAGACTTTTGTAACCAAAGTTAAGTGACTAGTTCCTTTAGGAGCCATATCTCTTTATCTGAATGGATTTGAATGGAAAACCCATGCCATGGAAAATTATTTTTCCCACCAGGCAGCCCTGGGTACTTTTCTAACCCTTGGTGTGACTGGTTTGTGCACGTGGATGGCAGCAGTGGGTTGCCACAGTGTGCCCCCAGGTGTCTTACTCTCTAATTCTAAGGACAAGAAATTTACGTTTATTTGCTCTTGGACTTTGCTGTTGTGGGTATTTTCCAAATAGGCTGTCTGTACTGGCAGGGTTTTGTGCTGACTATGGAGGGTACAAGTCTGGAATTTAAATTTGATGTCTTCAACCATCTTAGAGCTAAAAAGAAAAAAAATTTTTTTTTTTTCTTTCCCAGGGTAGCCAATGTTGCTTTTATAGAAGTGTTCTCAAAACTGTGGAATGCTGCATTGGGGGCAAAATCAGTTGTAAGGGGGGCAATTATACAACTATATGACTTACTATTTATTTTGTGATGAGATCTTGCCAAGTTGCTGAGGCTGGCCTCAAACTTGCAAACCTCCTGCTTCAGTCTCCCAGATTGCTGGGATTATAGGCATAAACCTCTGCACCCAGCTCAATGTTTTCATTTTTAATGAATAATTTGATGGAATCCGTATTTATTAAGAGCAAAACTTAAGGAAGTATGTTGCTGAGACCTCAAATGTCAGTTGATTTGATAACTTCATCAAAGACTTGTCACTTGACCCTAACATGTGACTGGGAGGAACATAGACAATGCTCCAGCATTTTGCCCAGTAGAGAACCAACGCTTTTGATAGATTTCTGTCCATCTGGCAGCCCTTTGCATCCCTTGTCTTTTGCATGTCTGCTTTCTACGCACTCAACTGGTATAATCCCAGTCCTTTTAATTCTAAAAATCAGAGATGGCTTGAATTATAATTCTTGAGAAGTTTAAACACAGGGGACATCATTAAATTTGGAAAATTTCTGTTCTACTTGTTATCACATCTTCCCTGATACCTATTTATCTCAAAAGAACAAAGGTCATGATATCCCCGAGGCTGCTTTATCCACAGGACAAGGGATGGTACACATCTAAGATCCTTTCATCATCCTCGGTCTTTTCCAGGGGAACATTGGGATGGCTCTCCTTTCAGCTACAGCTCTTTGCACCTGTGCCCCGCCTCCACCAGACGTAGATTAACACATTAATTAAATTAAGCATTTATTTCCTGTGTGTGTGTGTGTGTGTGTGTTTCTTTAGATTCCTTGGACTAAATCCTTAACACTTGCCTCTTTGCATGCAAGAGTTCTGGCACTTGTTTCTGGAATCTGCAGGTCTTTCATGTGGCTCTTTCTATGTTAGATGTTCACTAACTTGTGCCTTTCAGCATCTGAAAGAGATGAGGGAGCTAGGGTTGTCCCTAAACCCTGTCATCCTATGTGTTTAAGCAGATCAGGACTATTTTTTTTCTGGATTTATTATTCCATTTCTTCCCCCACCCCCATAGTTGCATCTTGTTTTTAAAAATTCAGAAGACATTTAATCATTTAATCATTATAAAAACTCAAACATAGTAGAAGCATATAAAATATATACCAGAAATAGTTCACTTTTCCAGAGGAAATGTTCTGTATAGTTGAATGTCTAGTCTCCAAACATTTTTTCTTTAAAATTTTTACATATTGCGGTTTTAATAGTATGTGTATGCAGATTCAAAGGTCAGAAGATTCAGCAAGACTTTGGACAAAAAAAGAGCCTCCCTTTGCTGCACTCCTCT